TTCTGGTTACTTAAACTCCTAACATACAAATTATGTCTTTCGACAACGCTTGGAGATGGGCCTTACATGAAGTGTTTCATGAAAACCTTATACAAACCACAACAAATTTAAATTAATGGCACTTGCAATTTAGCACCTGATCTTTGGCTTCAACGGACTTCTCATTTATTACGAAATGTGGGATCCGGATCTGACCGTCCCGAAGTTAGTGGATCCAGATTGGACTTGAACTCGATTGGAGCAGACTTGAAAATTAAAAAATATATATTTAAATATTATGTTAAAATATACATGAATTATTTAATTATCTAACAAAAAACATATAATTATATTTATTTAACTATTATAATATTGTGCATTAAATATTATTTAAATAATAACGCTATCTGGTCGGGTCCCAGTATCGAGCCCACATGGACCCGGAACTGTTGGGTTTATATGGCCTTTAAAGGCCTTATGAGTGTGTAATGAAAAATATTTATTACAATGGAACATAAACTCAGTGGGAGTGTGGTCCGTCGAGGACCATACTAAGCAAATGATGTTTGCTGATACCGGACTGTGCTTGACGATCTAGGCCAGTTGGTTGGAAAACCCACCGTACCTGGGCATAAAGAATAAACCGATAAGGGTTTTGGGTTAGCCCTTGATGAGGTTGGAGCTTATGCTTGGTTGAGTGAGCTGAGGGACTGTGTGACTCTTTTGTGTGATGGTAGTAGGCCTACAGAAACAGGGGCCTAATCCTCATCCATGTTCCATCACACGACATGCATATCGATAGATCGTTTGGAAAACCAGTTATCCACCTTAGGGTGAAGCGTATGCATGTGCGAGAGAGACACTCCTACGTACCATAGAGCTGTGGTCACATCAGGTCGTGTGACCTTGACTCGTCTCTAGGGGAGGACCTATAATCCACAGACTAAGATTGCGACCCCTTGGTTCATCAGTCAGACTTTGGTGACCCGCTAATGAGCTCCTACTTGGACTATGGGTCATGGAAAACACTGGATCGGTTTGATTAAGCAAGTGTGGTTTGTAGTCCACAGTTGAAAGTGGAGTACCTCGTGATTGTTGATAGAATTCCTGAACCATATAGATCCACTTCCCATCATATTAATTTAATTGTGTTCATTTTATTATTAAATTATTTTAGATTTATTATTTGAATTTTTATAAGTCATTTGATATTTTATTTATGATTTTTTTACTTATAAAAATGAAGTTATTAATTTACAAAGTTATAATGTTTTAAAATTAGTTTTGTTCAATTTTAAAATATTTATAAAAAATACATGGGGGCCCATAGTGCACATGGGCCCACCATGTGGGTATTGGTTGGGGCCCACGTGCCTCATATGGGTGGTACGCCCCACCCTTGGATGCCTCTTCTTGATTTCTTTGAAAACAAGTTAATTGATTTTGGTAACTTTATTTTGTAGCATGTGGTCAAATCTTAGAAGGAAAATATTAACCATATCTTATTTTGTTTATTGAAAGTATATCTTGAATTGTCATATTTTTATGATATGCTAAGAGTTGGAACATGCTACTTTATAGAATGAATAATATTTTATTAGATTTAATTTATTTATAATATTTTGATGGAAAAAAGGTTTAAGGAAAGGGTGATAATGGTTCATGCACCTTTTATAATGTTGATGGCCCATCTATGGAATAAATGGCTCAGATCTCTCACCCCACAAGTCAGCTTGATCAACGGTCCATATTCAATCTCAAGAAAGAGACAAACTATGGGAAACCCTTAAGAAACCCTAGGCCTAAATTTTACTATAAATAGGGGAGCTATCCCCACATCTAGATACAAATCTCTCTCCCATAAACTCTCTCTCTCCTCCCTAGGGGTCACGCCCCTCTCTCTCCTCTCTGACTTTCTCTCTCTAACTCTCTCTCCTAAAAACTCAAAGGGGGCATGCCCCAACTCTAAAGACTCTTTCTCTCTCTCTCATGACCCAAATATAATCTAAAAGTTAAGAAAGTTAGGGTTTGAGCCTAATTATTTTGAAATTAGGGTTTTTGTAGAGATTTAAGAAAAAAAGATATATGTACCTGTAAAACCACAAGAGCAATGAAGTTTTCTCATCTTCTCTCTTCTCTTCTCTTTCTCTCTCTCTAAACAAGTTTTGAAATAATAAGCGATGGATGATTCTTCTATATAACCTTGTAAGGATAAAAATAAAGAAACAAAAATAAAAAAGGGAGCCAAACCCAACGGATAATCCTCTCTCTCTCATATTTATATTTTGATGGATGATTCTTCTATATAACCTTGTAAGGATAAAAATAAAGAAACAAAAATAAAAAAGGGAGCCAAACCCAACGGATAATCCTCTCTCTCTCATATTTATATTTGTATGATGTAACCTATCTCACTTAATGCTTCCTTGATCCTAGGCATTCTTTTACAAGAGACAGAATCTGCGTGCTGTTTTATTTAAAATCATGAGAGAGAAAGTCTGCGTACTGTTTTAATTCAAATGAGAGAGAATTTTATGAGAGAGAAGGCGGGAGACTTCTTTATGCGATATTTTATTGAGAGGGAGTTCTAGAGAGAGATTGGAAGTTTTAGAGAGAGAGTTCTTACATAATTATTTTGGGGTAGGGGTGGCAATGGACCTATGCCCTTGATGCAGGACCTAAGGGGTAGCCCCGACCAGGTCCTAGTATGGCTCCAAACATTGTATGTGGCAGGTTGGGTCTGGCTCCAAATCATGAATCCGAATACTATATGGGTCCGGATCCATGTCTACATACATCCAACCCGGACCCGACCCGAATAGTGTTGATATTTGAATAAAATTAATATATGACCTTTAAATAAGGGTGAGGTTGCAACCTTAAATAATCCAATTAAGGTGCACCTCCAAATTTTATCATAACATATAATTTTGGTGCAAAAATATCCTAGGATTATCTTATATATATTTTCATCTCTAATTATAAAATTTGAAACTCTAAAAATGGTTAAAATCAACTAGATTGATAAACATGAGAAAATCTTGAAAATAAATGGTCTAGATAATGTGTTGCAAGATGCACTATTCCGGGACTCAAAATTTTTGTTTGTTGTCATATTCATATATCTCGATGTCGAGATGATCAATTAGATGGTTTTTCAACATTAAAACAACCATTTCCGATGGATTTGTGAAGTGCATATGTAATTCTACATTTTAAGGTTGCAACCTTATATAAACTTTTTTTTTAAATAACTATAACTATATATCTTTAGTTATAATAAAAATATGAGTAATGACACTTCGAGACCCTCCCACATCCATGTGAGTAGGACCACAAAAGATCACCATTAAATTTTGATAAAAACTCTAGAATAGTTATCACACGGGTGTGGGACATGGACGAATGGGTCTATTGATAACTTTTTCAGAGAACTGTGTCAAATTTAATAGTGACCATTTGAAGTTCTACTCACATAGGTGTGAGAAGGTCTCATAATATCATTACTCTAAAAATATATAGTATTTAGATAAGAACAATTGTTTCATGCGAGCTGGACCGCATTTGTACAATATACGGTCCAGAGGTATAAAGCATTCATCTTAAAGATGGATGCAACTGGTGGTCCATCTAAAAACAATGGTAACTAACGGTCCAAATAGTTTCTTAATATAATTATTATTTGTAGTTTTCAAATTTTATTTATTTTTTCATATTCATGATCTCTATGTTAAAAATTATATATTCTCTAAAAATTAGGATCAAATTATATTTAAATTATATATTTATTGTCAAGCCTGCATTTGCACATGTGCAAGCTTGGCTGCATGCAAATCGAGTCCTTTAGATAATGCATATTTACCTTTCTAGAATTTATAAAAATATATTTAAATATCTAATATATGATATTTAAATAATATTTAAATAAATACATCTATATATTTTTAGTTATAATACTTAAATAATATATGTATATATTTAACAAATTTATGAAATATAATTAAATACATATATTTTGTTTTCTTGGTCGTCTCCAGGTCTCGTAATATTATTAGGGTCCACGTCCGCCCCTAGCCACCCCTACTTTTGGGAGACAAATGAGGTGAACGTGGATTTGGGTACTCTATAAACTTCGGTACGTAGATCTTCTTCATTGGACGGTGATCGTTAGCGAAATAGAATTCTTAGTTGCCGGTGATCCTTTAAGGGTTCAAACTTGGTGCCCGTACAATACTCCGTTGCACGCTTAATCCACAGGAGCATGTTGTACGCTCCACATATATTTTATTACTTTAAAATTGTGGGAGATGCTTTAGAATAACCATGATGAATAAAAACAGAAAAAGAAAAAAAGGAAAAAATTAAAATAAAAAAAAAAAAGCATGCTGTTCGATAAAAAAAATAAAAAAAAAAAACAAGAAGAACAAAGCGTGCTCTCCAACTCTTAAATCTGGTAGTCCAAACATTCTCTTATGGACCTCAGATCTGTATTTCATTTCAAGCAATAAATAGGTTGATCACTAGGTTCATCCACTGATTTTTTGGCATGAATAAGCATGATATTTACCAAATATGCTTTTTCCATTTGCCATTGTGTCATTTACCATAGAGATTTTCTTCTTTTTTTTACATTTTCTTCCATAGTTTAACAGTATCTCTTTTATCCTCAATTATGATTTGGAGCACTTATATCATACTCCCATGGAAGCATATTGTAAATTTATTTTTTTTAGGAGGCCTACTTAGAAGTATTTCCCTAATCTAAATTTTCATATCCACTTTAAAATAATTATATCAAAATTTTAAAAAGAAAAAACCACATCTTTCCAAATACTTGGATCTGATCATCTAAAAGTCGAAGGAAATCCACTCAATTTTAAGATATTATTTTTTCATGGATACATAAAACCTATCTTTTCTTTATTTTTTTATTTTCTTTTTCTCTCGATTGCTACATCGAGTAGGCTACATCACCAAGATTCATGTCTACTATGAAGATATATTTTTCTTTTCTAATGTTATCAACACTGGACTGAATGAGCATTGAGTGAAGCCCTAAAGGCAATAATTACCACAACCCGAAACCCTTCTCTATTCTTTCTCTGTTTAAGGAGCAAGACCTCCCTTACAACAGTCAAGTACCTCCCATATACAAATCGTTGCAATCAAAATTTGTACGAAATATGACTGATTCCCTTCTCTCTATACCTATTTGAACACTGATCACAATTTTAGTTTTACTGTGTCAGTGTGCAATGATCTGCACTTTCTTGACTGTTGTATGCCATGTCGAAAGAGAGAGAGGGCGAGGAATGAAGTTGCCGTTTGTAATTGATATGGTGTCAATGAGACCCAGCCTGTTATCATTGTGGGATTTGGAAAGAGGTCAGAGATTCATAGGGGCCTTCCATCCCCACTTTTCAGCACCCACCCACCAGCCTGTGAGACGCATAGTTCAGTTAAAACCTGTCAAAGGCGAGAACGACTTAGATACGCACATGGATGAGATGCACTTCATGTGTGTATCAGAAAGAGAGATTTGATGCAGACCTGTTTATATACATTGGGGGGGACATCCTCCTTGTTAAACTTGATCTTAAAAGCTTGCATTACTTCTACTTTCTTTAGCTTTGCCTTTGGTTTACTTGCACAAAGAAGACTAATAACAACCTCCCTATCCAATGCATGAAACAAAATAAGAAGACATTATATATAAAGAAACCCAAAAAGAGAAAAATTAATATGTAAAGAAGAAACAACAAATATGCATAATTTGTCACCTCAAAGGGTCTAATAGTGGATTGCTAAGTGACTTCAGCGCATAAACTCCATGTATATTTACAGCGACTTTATTGACATGAGAGAGAAGTTCAGCATCAGATGCAGCAGCCCCATGCGCTGCAGCTGCGGCAACTCTTGTAGCAGCTTTCGGTGTAACAGATTTGGAGATACCCAAATCACGTAATCCTGAGCGTAACATCGGCAGGCTGCAAGTACGAAAGAGAGAGAATGGGAGATAGTTTAAGAAGTGAAAGAACGTCATCCATTTTGCTTCCGGAATCTAAACATCAAATCAGTAAAATATTATGAGTTCCAGAGATGAGTAACCCAAAAACCACGATCTCAGGTAACCCCAATATTACTCAACCAAAAAGTTCATAGGACTTTAATAAGTTTTAAATTGGGTGATGGAGGAAGTAGCTTATCCTCATCATATCTAAATTGCAGCAGTTCGAACCATAGTTACCGCCTTACCGAGATCTCCCAACTTGGTAGTGATCCGAGCAATCCCACGCTCCCAGAACTGGACCTTGGGTGAATCTTGCTTCAATATGGGGGTAACACATCTCTTAGAGATCGGTCGATATAAATCATACTCATGTGGGATTGATCTTTTAAAAAAACAAAGTTCCAAATGTATATATATTAGAAAAAGAAAGCGATTACATTGCAAAATCATGTTTTGTATATCTTTCAAAGAGAAAAATGATACTTTTACTAGATGGGTCCAGGACCTTTAGAATATGTCATGTGATCCCCAAAAAATTGGGATCAAGCTCCCCGACATGCTGGCTTTGAGACCCCTAAAATTCAGGGTGTACCAACAGCAATCCAAATCATAGGCAGCTTCTAGCCTATCAAGATTCCATGGTCCCGATCCTGTTCCAGAGCCCGGTCCCAATCCTAACAACTATGGTTCTAACTTCCAAGTCAAAGTCGCACATCTAGATCCAAACTCTTAAGGTTGGAAGACACATAACAGGTGCATTTGTATGTCTGTTAGAGAGAGAGAGAGAGAGAGGAGAGAGAGAGAGAGAGAGAGAGAGAGAGAGAGTAACTACTATAGTATTTCTTACTTACAAGTAAATAAGAAAGGAAAAGGAGGTAAGGTAAAGTAAAGTACTAGTGTGTACTATTACGTAAGGTAA